GCGTTGTTCCTTAATCTTCGAATTGGATCCGGCTTATTATTTTTTGCAGACTGTTAGAACAATTTTATAAAAGTAAGCTTGAACTGTCGATTATGTCAAATAGAATTTCTGATATATATTTACTAATATGTAAAAGATCTACAAAACGAAAGTATATTTTGAAGTTCATTAAACAAAAAGTGGAATTGCTGCAAAAAATGGATAAAGGCATATCCTTTGTTTATCTATACTTTGTTTATCTTTAATGCCGCGGCGGGCGCGCAATGAATTGGAAGTTGATCTGTCAGCGCTATCCTTATCTTCAGGGCAGATTTTTTTTTTATTTGGCTTATAATTCCTTACTAAATGTAGTATTTCATCTCGATGTACTCTGTCTTTGATATGATTTAAATCAAATTCCTCGTCATTATAATTCGCTTTCGATAGCGAAGAAAGTGACAGAGGTTATTGAAAACGAAAAAATTTTGATTGACAAATTAGTCGGTATTCTCGACACAGCAATTGTAGGACTTAAACAGCGGAACTTTGTAACTGAACAAGAAATTATGTCTGTTTATAGAATTAAAGAGAATGTATTATCACTAAAACGAAGCAACTTAAACAACTTACATTGAAAGAAATGTTTATAAAGTAAACAATAAATATTAAGCTTTTTTTTTTTTTTTTTTTTTTTTTTTGTAATTTTTAATACCCTTTAGATCATAATTGTTTCTTTATTTCATAAATTACAGTTTCATATTTTTAATTTTATAATTTCTGCATGCCATCTTGCCAGATTTAAACTGATGATCTATAATCCGGAATCGCCAAAGTCCCGACGAGTCCGGATTAACGACTTTTGACTGTAGTCTTTTTTTTTTTTTTTTTTTTTTTCCCAATACATTATACAGCACGGAGTTTGGAAGGTTTTCTCCTTTCTCCGCAAAATCTCTAATATTGAAGCAGCGCCTTTTTTTTTTTTTTTTTTTTTTTTTTTTTTTTTTTTTTTTTTTTGTCACTGTCCAATCTGGATTGAATAGGACTAAAATTTTTGCGGTCTACCCAACCTAAGTGAAGATTGATTTTATTCCAGAAATTTAACGCAATCTGTTGAAAATTAGAATCAGAAACACCCCATATAGTAATCCTTTTTTTCGTTTATTTAGTTCTTTATTCTCTGAATACCGGCAGCTGTTGATTCCAGTTGCGTAATATCACATGTGGAAGAATTATGCCGCACGTAATGCACAATAACGTTTGCGGTATTTTGCAGAGATAATTAATTTTGATGTTCAGTCTGAGATTTCTTTATGAACAAAAGAGTTTTACTGTGCTTTCTAAGCAGAATATTTCTCAGTTCCGTTGGTCTATTTTTATATGATGCACATATTGAAATGTCAAAATCATTTATTTAGCCAAGAAATCTAAAGAACGGCTACAATCTCCCCCACTCCTCTTCTTCCAGTTACTATCCGGAATATTCGACAATTTTCGAGTATGCAGGTTTTTGTTAAGCTTTTACTGTTAAAGGAGACTGCATGAAGCAATTTCCCGTCTTGTGATTTCAGAAATGTGCCTCTTTTTTACTTAAATTACTTTGCTTGGAATATATGTTAAGGGAAAACTGTTATGCAATGAAAATTTAGAAAATGTTCAGAATTTTGATTTAGTTAAATTATTTAAATATAATATGAGTGGAAAATAAATTGTATTTATTTTAGTGCCAAACGAATACAATTAATATGCTTATTATTATTTATTTTCTATATTTTGAACTGAAATTTCATCATTAATTTTGTAATATAGTTTTAGTTTTTGCATAGTTTTTTTTCTCTCATCGTAAACTAATTCTTTAAATTGAACTGTCATTTAAAATTTTAAAAAAAAAAAAGTTAATTGTTTTCCGTGGTTGAGGTAATGCTCATTTTCTTAATAAATACTGCATTGCTCATATTTTAAATTACAAGTCTAATTTTCTTTTAAGGTTATGCAAATGTAATTAGACAGGTGCTTATTTTTTCCTTAAAATGTGCTTGAAAAGTGCTTATAGGTGCTTATTTTTTGAACTAAAATGTGGCTACGAACCCTGCTTAAGAGACCTTAAATTTTTTGGAATCAATTTTTGGTCCTTAAAAGTCCTTAATTTTGGCCAAAATCAGCAGAAGCTCCTTAGTTTTAATCATCTGAAATTTCTGTCTGTTTTTACGATTGCCATTTTGAGTGTGAATTAGCATTTTGGAGGAATGTTTTTGGCAATTCACTGACACATATGGTTATCTTTTGAATGGGTTATAATTTGTTTTTATTTCTAATATAAATGATGGGATACTCAAGTTTCTAAGCAAGAAGTGAAGCATAAGCATTTCGAAATTCATTTTTTCTAATAAAGAAATCTTAAACCTTTTTCGCTTTGGGGATGTGAATTCTTATTCAATGGTCTAATTTGACCTTGTCCAACATTTTGGCATTTTAAGATAATTTCTATTGAAATTTTTTAATTCCGAGATCTGAGAATTTTAGACGATTTTTTTTAAATCATCACAACATTGATAAATTCATTAAAATAATAGTAATATATTGAAATTATATTTAAAAAATAACATTAAAAAAATATTTTTATTTTTCGCTGTCATACTATAAAGTTTCAGTGTGGCAACTTATTATACAATATTTTGAATCTGAAAAATAAACAAGGTATAATGCTATAAAGCACAATTTACGAAACAGCTCTTCGAAAAAGCAAAATTAGCTATGTAATTAATTAAAAACATCTTGTTTTTAGTTTTTTCATAGTAAGAGTTTTTCCCATGTAATTGTCTCAAAATATTCAAAATTCTCAGAATGTGCATCAGTTTTTCTCTATAAAATTAATTTTATGCTTTTTCCCTCCTATTTTTTCCAAAATATTTCTGGCTTTTTTCTGTTACGGAAATGGTAGGAATAATTTTTCTTTAGGATTTTAGACATTGCAGCTTGGAAACTTTAGAAGGATTTGAAGGCAAGATTTATAGACCTACGAATCTAGAAGATTCGAGAAATATGTGACAAAATGAAAAATGTCTCCATGGTATCAACACGTAATGGATGTATTTTACAGAAAGTTTGCAATAAATTTCTTAATTTTTGGAGAACGTCTGGAAGAACAATGAAAACATAATATTTGAATGTTTTATTTCAGATACTAGAATCTTTTTCCTAACATGTTTACCTTCCCTTTATTTTCTCTACTTCTCACTAGGCACATGTGTAGAAAATATCAAAACTGCTTCTAATCTTATCACATGGCCAAGCATTATAGAAAGGGATTTTTTTATTAATAAAGAAATTGAAATAACAACAACACTCAACACTTAGGATACACATTAAAAGCTACAAAACATAAATATTTTGTAGCTTTTAATGTGTATCTTAATATTGTTTAAAAATCAATATATATATTTTAAACTGTGAAAATTTATTAGCTTTTGATTTCAAGTCTTTTTTAACAAATATTGTTAAAAAAGACTTAAAATCAAAATCTTTTTTAACAAATATTGTTAAAAAATAAAATTTAATAGTGGCCATGTAAATCCATTATGACTAAGATTATCTAATTACCTAATTTAATTATTTATAACTTACTGCTTAACCTTAAAAATTATGTCTACATATTAAAGCGAGTTATTGCCTTTCATTAACACTCACTGTGGTCACAAGATAAAACACAAAAATGTAAAAATTCAAGTAAAACTTATTCTTTGCATCTAGTGAAACTTAAAAATAATACAAAACAACCTATTATCTCTGGTACTTTAATTGCTTATTGGAACATTAATGTATATTAACTGGGCTACAACCCCTTGGAACTCTACACAAAGCTATGACACTAACTGCATCAAACAGAGCTGACTAACTTTCAACACTTCCCAACTGTGTCTACATCAGGCCTTTCATGTTTGTTCTAATGAGCAGGACTCTCTAATGAGCAGGAAATGTCTCTAGACAAGCAACAGCGGTGACAACCTTCAGTCTTTTGTTATGAGTCATGCTGATTATGATCTTACTTCTCATTTTAACGTATGCCTTTTGACATAAAAAATCTACCTGCTATTTACTAAACTTCTAGACTAAGTGACAAGTAATGAGACAAATTAAAAAAAAAAAAAAAAATCGACATAAAGCTAACTATTAGTAAAACGTAAATGTCACTTAGCTTTTTTTCAAATATGTCCAGCTATTGTAAGGGTAAAATAGTTAATGCTACTTGATAAATTTCATACATTTTATTTTATTCTCAAACTTATTAATAATTATGTTAATTAATTCATGTTTAGTAATAATGCATACTACTCAGGGATCTATTTTATTTTTAGAATGGTATTACAAAAATGAAAATCAGGCATAGAATAATATTTTTAATTGAATTTATTCAGTTCCATTTGCTCATAGGTCCTTAATTTTTTCATTAATGGTCCTTAAAAGTACTTAATTTCCGTGTGCAGAAATGTGTACAAACCTTGGAAAAAGATCGTCAATTTTTTTTTTTTTTTTTTTTTTTTTTTTTTTTTTTTTTTTTTATGCTATAAATGAACAGTTTGCTTTGATGAAATATCTATGCAAAGTTTAAATATATAGAAAATCTTCAATTTATGAAATAAATGAAGATGCTGCCCTGCTGCCTGCAACGTGGAAAACACACTATTATACTGTATACACATAAGCAAATTAACACAATTCTTCTTTATATAACAGATTTGGATTAGTCGATAAATTCTTGGAGGAATTTTTTTGGATTATTCAATTATTTTTGCAAAAGTTGTTATATAAGCATATTGGCAGTTATTAAGACTGTTGTATTGACAAGTCTATTTGAAGATGTCGTTAAAGGTTATTTCTTAAAGATTCTCCTAAACAGAGATGTAATTAATAAATTTTTAATGGCTGAATACAAAATTTGTATTAGCTGTATGTGTATAAATACTGAAAATAAATGAATTTTTGGCATGAAAGATTTTTCAGTGATCTCTTTTCTTGATAAACAGGTGGAAGCTGATAAAAATGAAAAAATTGTTTTCTTGCCTACTAATTTAGCTGATCACCAAAAGATCCAGCTGCAGAAATGTGCACAGTTATTAAAAGCAGATATTGTGGATGAATTCAACCATAATGGTCAGATATTTTTCTAGATAATTTTAATTATTTTTAACTGCATATACCTGTGTTTTTAATCTCATATGTTTTGTGGGTATGTATTTAAGTAGTAATAGGGGGGAAAAGTTTTAGTTATTGGTCAAATTCTTTCATATTGCCACAGAACTAATTTTATTGACTAATTAATTGTTTATATTTTTGTTAGTAAATCGCACAATAAACTCAGGAACAATATATTTATTTATCAGAATTAAAGTTTTGAAAGCAATATTGATTGTAATTAACAACTTTTTTCTATTTGTCTTTAAGGCTAAAAAGTTTATATTTAACTAAAGGCTTTTAATTTATTCCGAAGTTATTTAATTGGCTATGAGTGTGCAGAATAAACATGACTTGTCTTCTTTAAATGAAACAATCATATGAATGAGAATTAATTAGATTAACAGGCTGGTACTTGATTAATTATCCTGTTTCTTTGTTTTCTTTTCTAATGTTTCAAAAACTTTCAATTTGCATCAAGCTTCTGCAATAAATTCTTTTGGCAAGTCTGTGAACTGTGGCGCACTCTGTGAATAAAAAATGTAACTGCAATTGTTAGTAAACAAAAATAAAATTCTCCTTTTTCCATCTCTTCTGAAAATATATTGAAATCAGTTGTTTTGTTTGTAGATTTATTTTATCTGTCAGGGGGATAAGGTTATTGATACACGTTGATATTAATATTATTTACATTCTCTGTATTTTATTTCTAATTCTAGCCTAACATTTTCAACAAAATAAAAGTAATTTATTTGCATACATTTGAACAATGGAGAAATATTTTAAGGAATAATGAATGAAAATCTTGATGGCAATAAATTTATCTCTGTTTTGGCCGAAATGTAGTAGCAATAAATTATCATACTTGAAATAATCAATCTACACTGAAATTTTTCTTATACTATAATGTAATATTACTTTAAAGCAATGTGATAAATTAAAGTACACTATTATTAAGACGAAAAATTATTCAAAAATTATTGGCCAATTAATATTTACATTTTAGTTCTCATGGACCAATATTTTATGCTCATGAATGTATATCATAATAACAAAAAAAAAAAAAAAAATCTGAAAGCTACATTACACCCAAAGGAACTTTTCTCAACGTTTTGTGTGTTACCTTTATTTATTAAATATCATGTTCTTTGCACTTAAACCATAAAATTCAATTCAACAGCAATATCGCAAAATAATTATAAAATGAGCATATCTTTAGAATTTCCGATACACAGATTAAAAAGCCCCTCCCCCGGTACAGTGTTGCCATTGCTTGCTTTTGAAATCGTTGAGTTTGTTAATCAAAAATTCGTTAAAGTGTTACAAAATATGAAATCGATTTACAAAAATAAAATTCTCCTTTTTCCATCTCTTCTGATAATAAAACAAATTCCAAGTTCAGGCTTCCAGTTTCGGTGGAAGATTACATTATTCAAAATTTGATGGCTTTAGGTATCGTTGTTTTATCACAATATGAGAAACATGCATACATTTATGCAGATTCTTTATTCTTTAATTTCTTTAACACAGGGCGATGATATTTGGTGGCAGCAATTTGAAAAGTTATTTACCATTTATAGTGAACCAATGCAAAATGCCAAAACAAATTTAATAGCCCTTCTGGGCTAATTAACTAAAGGAATGCTATATATATTATCTAAAGGAATGCTGAAATTGCCGTATTTAATGTGATGCTATTCTCAAGAGAAATATTACAGAAGAGATGGGGGAAAACCTTTAAAATAAAAAATATCTGTGCTCCCCTTAGCTCAGTGGTTAGCGCATTAAACTCATGATTGAAAGGTCCCAAGATCGAATACTGCTAATCACTATTAATTTTTCAAAAAAGAGTTTAAAGTTTACTTTTCCTCCTTAACTTTCTCAAGTCATTTTTACTTAAAAAATTTTCCTTAATGTCTATCTGTATTTTTTTCTTTATTCTGCTCACTATTTTATTTTTATGATGTTCAGGTAGAAGGTCTTTTACCCTAAGCACTCCAAAAAAAATAATCCTCGGTCATTACAAAAGACAGCCTTAACTCTTTGACTACAAATTTTAAAAAAGATTTTACCTCATTTTCTATCCAGGTGAATAAAATATGTCATAAATAAGGTAAATTTAGCTAATAAATGGTTTTCAAGCCAGAGGCTGAGACACATATGTCCTAGCCATAGTTAATAGTGGGATACTTATCTCCCACACATAAGCGATTGTCTTATAAGCACACCTATTATTCTGGAAAACTTTATTATATGAAATAGTTTTTATATGGTATTGTACAGGGCGAAAGCATTCTTTGCATAACCAAGCATTACATGTTGGGCACGTTGGTTCTTTTCTCTATGTTCATCTGTGTACAACAAGCACAGCAGCGCCTTAATTTTCCAAATATTGGAAGATGATCCCCCAACATTGAGGAGATTCTAAGTTTGAACTTTTAGTGGGACATATATGTCCCGTTAGTTGTCAAAGGGTAATGATGCATGCAAACATAAGTAAGCCAGTTATGCAATAAGCTATTTGAAATATTTAAAATAGTTATTTAACAATTTCAACTGCACAGTTTTCCCAATAATTATGCTTTAATTCATTTTAATTATTACACATGTAAATGCATTCATATTTATTGAAATTTTAAAATAATTTAATAATTAATTATAAGAATTTTTTATGTGTAAAAGAGAATTTTTAATTAAGAATTTTTTTGCATGTGAAATTATGTGATTTATTCTTAAAATTAAAATATTATTTTCATAGCGCTTTTTAAAAAAACATATCTCATTGCTGAAAAGTTATGCATCATACTTTCAAGTAATTTAGTTGTTTTTCCTTAACAGATATATATAACAGGGTGATTATAATTAAGTTTAAGTTTCAAACGCTTAAAAAAAAGAACCACTCCTGAAAATGACGTCAAATTTGAAAGGAATGTTATTGAAGAAGGGGAAAGCGTTGGCAGAAGAAAAAATTTAGTTTCAAAAGTTAGCAACAGATGGCGCTGCAAGCGGAAGAAGACGTAAATTAAAATGTTAGTTAAATTTCAGTGTTATAAAACCGCCAGTCAGGTACCAAGGCTGTTCCTCATTTCGTGTCTCAGACGTTCGCCATGGGCGTTTCACTGCAGGACCGCGCTCTGCTGGTAAAGCTGTATTACCAAGAATGATTGTGCAGAGTTCTGCAAAAATTCAGGACACTAAAGGATATAGAAAGAAGGCGTTGGTCCAATGAGTGTCGTGGATCTAAAGAAAATAATGCAAAAATTCAAAACGACAGGTTCGTTTGATGTGTAATCTGGTAGAGGGAGAAAACGAGTGTATTCGACGGTAGTTGAAGAAATGGTCACCAGCATTACAGGAGGGGTCGGCCGGTGGTGTGCAACAGTGCAATGCACGAGGAATTGCCGGAACACTAGGACAGGCCTACGAGCACACTGCTGAAAATTGTACGAAACATCCTGCAATGCTATCCGTACAAAATTGGCTATGTGCAGGATTTGCTTCCGTCTGACCTGACAGCTAGGAGACGTTTGCGTTAGAATTCCTGGCTCGCATGGAAATGGATAATGAATGGCCGTGGAAAATTTTTGTGGATAGATGAAGCCCATTTCTATCTGACAGGATACGTGAATACCCAGAATTGTCGAATACGGGCAACAGAAAATCCATTGGCAAAGCATCCCGTACCACTTCATCCTGAAAAGGTCACTGTATGGTGTGGCTTTAAGGCATCATTCATCCTACAACCATATTTTTTCGAGCAGAAGGGGTGCTTCCGATCCTGTTACCGCAACCGTCACTGGTCAGAGGTATGCGTCTCTTTTGCGCGCAACCACGTGATTCCAGCTCTGCACAGCATGGATTGTGGATGAAATCATTTTTATGCAAGATGGCGCTCCTCCGCACATTGCACATCACGTGAAGCAGCTGCTGAGGCGCCATTTCGGAAATGCTCGAATTATCAGCCGTCATTTCCCTACAGCCTGGCCGTCCCCGATCGCCTGATCTTACTCCGTGTGATTTCTGGCTGTGGGGATATCTGAAGGATGTTGTGTTCCGTGCTCCAATTGCAAATTAGCGGAATTAAAGGCACGCATTTCACAACACATTCTGAACATCACCCCAGAGACACTGCGATCCGTTGTGGAACATGCTGTTTGTCGCTTTCCAACTTGTTGCACAAATGGTGGACACCATATGAACATGTTTTGCGCCAGTCTCGTGACAGTTCCGAACTTCTTTGATGAATGGTTCTTATGCGGTACGTCGCCGCAAAACTCATGAAACCGATTTGTCCCTTTCGATGTGATATGTACAGTCATGCAAATAAAATTATTCACAATTCTAATTTGTCATACGTTTTAATGTGTAACTTCCACCTTAGCCGTTGTTTTACGAATCATTTCTCTCGTGATTCGGCCGCTTACAGCGCCATCTGTGGCTAACTTTCAAAACTAAATTTTTTCTTCTGCCATACGCTTTCCGCCTTCTTCAATAACATTCCTTTCAAATTTCACATCATTTTCATCAGTGGTTCTTTTTTTATAGCGTTTTTAAACTTAAACTTTAATTATAATCACCCTGTATATATACTTTTTTTTTTTCAGTTTCTCATATAATAACATCATGTGACAGCATGGGAAATTGTACTCGTACAATGAAAGTTTTAATGGGAATGTTATCTGGTAAATGGATTATTAATTCCCAGTGTAAGTCAGTTTTTATTGAAACTTTTATATATAGTTATTCAGATTAATACAAGTAATTTAATTTGTAATATTTTTTTTAAATTGCTCCCCTTTTTTAAAGTTTCAGTGGGGTTTTCTTTGTACAGTTTATTATACTATATATCAGCAATTCATGCAATTATTTCTCATACATCCGCATTATGATGGCATAGATAGTAACAAGGGTACATAAGATTTTTATTATATTGTATATATATATTTGATACAATAAAACTTCACAGAAAATATTGCAGATACTGGTTTCTTCTCAATATGAAGTAAAAATCTTATGACATTAAAAATTTTTACAACGTTTGGAATAAAAATGTTCGTTTAGTTTTAATATTTATATCCAAGTACTTTAAATCACATAAAATATAATTATTAATTATTTTCCCTATATTCTTGTTACCTGTAGGGAATAAGCCATAAGAGTGACCTCCTTTAAATTATTATTACAGCCATTCTTTGAAAAATGTAATATTTTTTAATGTATATTTGTAACTTTATACCATTGCATTTCAAAAAACAAATGATAATTAACTGAAGTAGTTTAGTTTATATTATTATAATTTGATTTTATATTGAGAAACATGTTATATTAAAGAATGCTTAAGTTTTCTTATTTAATTATGATGATATTTTATGTGCACAGTACCCTGAAATATTATTGGGACATAGTTTTAAAATATTAAATTTCATCAAAAGGTTAAAAGTTGATTTTATTGCTAAAGAAGTAAGTAGTCTTAAAATTAAAAATATTCCCTCGCCCTTTTCGGATTTTGTAATAATTTTCATAACTGAAAATATATTGTTGACACCTGTTAATCATCTTTCATCAGTTTTAAAACTAGCTTAACCTTCTAAAATCGGGCCGAAATTATTGTAATATAGCCTTCAGACTGGCGCGATCCTAAACAGTTTTGCCCCCTCTTTGACATTTTCCTAATGAGAAAAGTCGTTAGTTCCCCTCCATGGATGCAGTAAAATTTACATGTTTGTTGAACGCTGTCCCATAGTAGATGGATTGCTAGATTTTTGATTTTTTCGATGATTATTTTG